TACATATATACATACATACACATATATATACATATATACATACATACACATATATATACATATATACATACATACACATATATATACATATATACATACATACACATATACATATATATACATATATACATACATACACATATACATATATATACATATATACATACATACACATATACATATATACATACATACACATATACATATATATACATATATACATACATATAAACATATAGGTTCTGGAGTAGCTAGCCAGTCTCCAGACCTAAACCCTATAGAAAATCTTTGGAGGGAGCGCAAACTCCGTGTTTCTTAGCAACAGTTCAGAAACCTGGCTGATCTAGAGAAGATTTGTGTGGAGGAATGGACCAAAATCCCTGCTGCACTGTGTGCAAACCTGGTGAAACACTACAGGAAACGTTTGACCTCTGTAACTGCAAACAAAGGCTACTGTACCAAATATTAACATTGATTTTTACAGGTGTTCAAATACATATTTGCAGCAGTAACACACAAATAAATTATTAAATCTAAATCTAAATATTAAATCTGGGGTCGGGCTTGCTGACGATCAGTTTTAGCTTTTTCATTAAGTGCTGCTACAACTTTTTGGCTGAAGTATTGATGTGATGGGATGTCGTAGGCAGTGGGGGCTCAAGAACTTTAATCATATGCTAGAAGCCGGTGCATCAACAACATTCGGACATAGATCCAGAGCTTTAAAAACTCCTACAGCTCGTGTTATTGCTTTGGACCGATCTGAATTACCTGATAAAGGTTGTTTAAATGTTGCTGTTATCAGTCTTTGCACCAAGCTACGTTCACATTTGAATGTTGTTGTTTCAAGTGCTTTAACAATTTAGACGTGTTGCCTTCAGCAGATCCAATCTCCGTGAAACAACGTCGACACACAGCTATGGATTTGTCCACTTGCCTTTTAACAATAAAGCCATAATGTTCCCAAACAGGAGACCGCAACGAGATAGCTTGTTTGTTGCCTGCTAGGCTGCTAATGCTACATGTAGTGTTGTGTTCAAGACCACCTAAGCCGAGACCAAGGGAGGGCGAGATCAAGACCTCAAATAAAATAAATAAAACATACAATTTTATTAAAAAATATTTTTTATAAAAGTTACATACTGCATCTTTGTTTGCTTTTGAATTAATGTATCAGCGTTTATAAATTTTCAAAGCTACATAAAGAAATCAGACATTCAGTGGCCTAACTGCACGTGATTCAACAATAAAAATGCACAACTGTTAAATTGGAAACAGTTTCATCACATGCCAAGCCTTAAAATACTGAAGTGGCAAAACTCTCTTCAAAAGTCCAAACTCAAGACCAAGGATAACTATATAGTTGCACAGTGGTTTCAATAAAGTAGTAGATGTACAACTAAAAAGTTACATAAATGGAAATTAGTTTAAAGTAAGGTTTCACTGCATTTTAGAAACATGAGATTGCAACATACTGTGGCCTAAACGTGCACAAAAATGCCTCCTCAACAGAAACCCCTTTCCACTGGTGCAGAGGAGGAAGGGACTGAGATTACCTTCAATGCTAAATTGTGGTGTTGTGGAAATCTGGCATGGTTTTTGCGCAGAAGACAATTGCATTGTCAGTATCAGAGTCACGGGTGGCATCAAAGTATTTGTTTTTCTGTTACAGTATTTGAATCCTGGACTGAGCTGTGACAGCGGCGGGACAGAAGGCCAAGGCATTTGGTTGGTGGCAAACCACTTGCTGGTTCATGGCTCCTGAGCATGTGTCGTTACTGTTCATCATGTTCTCCACCTCATAGATCAATGTTTCTAAAAAACACAAACACAGTGACTGACTTAGATTCAAAGGAATATGCGCATTTCAAAGTTGAATTAAATACTTTTAAGACCTTTTTATAGGGCCCTTTTTAAAATAATCGATTAAGTTATATTTCTGCTTTTCAAATAAACATGGTTAATGTAAAATTAAATGCTGGTTATTTTATCCATTGCAGTGGTTATTAATGAAATTATTCTATAAATTGTTATTTATTTAGGTTGCAAGGTGTTGCTGTACTAAACACTTGGTACTTTGATTTCTCTCTACAGGCGAGTTTGATTGTCTAGGATAAAGTGAGTCAGGATTATGTACAATAGGCATGTTACCAGCCTTAATATAAAGAGTACCAGGTTCAAGAGGCTTAGAGTACAGGCAGCACAACGGCGCAGTGGTTAGCACTTTTGCCTCACAGCAAAAAGGTTCTGGGTTCAATCCCCGGTTGGGCCTGGGGTCCTTCTGTGTTGAGTTTGCATGTTCTTCTCATGCTTGCGTGGGTTTTCTCCGGGTGCTCCGGTTTCCTCCCACAGACCAAAAACATGCATGTTAGGCTGCCTTCAGGCCCAAGCCTCCCTTGCAAAACAGAACTGTGCGTTTGCTGTTGTTGCTCCCAGGTTGTGGAACAACTTACCCTTAAAGATTGAATGAATGTCAGACAGGCCTTCTCTCTTCCCGTTTTTAAATCTCTTTTAAAAACACATTTTTACTCTTTGGCTTTTAACATGTGATCTTATCTTTTATGGCATCTTAACACACCTGCCGTGAAACTGGTATGTGTATGTTTTTGTTTCTTTGTGTATGCTTTGTATGTTTTTATTGTCTTAATTAATTTATCTTTTTGTCTTATTGTACAGCACTTTGACTACCCTTGCAGTTTTTAAAATGTGCTATAGAAATAAAGTTGATTGATTGATCTGTAATCTCAATGGGATTTGCCCAGTTAAATAAAGGTAAATAAAATAAAGAGTGTACAAAATAATTTTCATGACAAAAGTAAATCGATGAAATGAAGATTATGAATTCCAGTGTAAGACTAGTTAAAGCTTTTTTGGGCTACTAATTTGAAACATTTTAGGATTTATGATTTTGCAAATAAGATTTATTTTCAGCAGAGAAAAATGTATACTAACCTGTCAGTGTCTTCTTAAGTTCATATCTGAACTTTTTCACTGATGCTGCATTTCCTCCATCTGTAACATCTAAGTCCACCCAGTTTAAGCCAAACTGTGGCTTCGGCATGGTCAGTCATGGACACAAGTGACATGGACAGTCAACCCAAGGAAGGAGCATAGCCTGCGATCAGACCAGAGGTCAGTTGTTAATGACACAGATGACTGGGTCTTCAGTTTAGAAACACGTGTGGGTGAACAACAATGTAAATCAATGGTATTTTGGCCATCACACTTTTCAAATAGATAAACAAGGAAGTTCAATGACTGATATGATGTGAGCCTTAAGAGAGTGAACTGGTAAAAGTTTATTTATTTGATCTGAAACTGTAAATTGGAACTTAAAAAATAGCTCTATAAAAGTAATTTGCCTATATCCATACAAAGCAACCTTTTAGTAATTTCTCATGAGTTCAGACGCATTACTCGGGCTCCACTCTCTGCTCATAAGGTGAGAGCTCTCTCAGTCAAACGAAAGAGCATCACTTTGGCGCTTAGCTTTAATGTCAGGAGCTGTATGCAGCTGACATTAACTAATGTCAATGTAACTTAATATTAACTACACAGCTTTTTGTGGCCTGTCTCGTTATTGTTTATCATAAGCAAAAAATTAAACTAGCAGGACCTGTTAATGTTGCCAACATCTCCATCCGTCTTTACAGACCGAACTCTACGGACTCGTTAGGTTCCGTGGGGAAACTTTGGATGGAGGGCAGCTGCTGCGGTTGACGTTATTACAATCAAGTTGCTAGCGGGACATGCTAACAACAAGGCATGCTAATGCTGATAAATCGTTCCGTTATCTGTACTGTTCTTGGAACAAAGGCAGATTGCTAAAGTTAACTAGCTAGCTTTGCTATCATCACTTATAGCTTACCTTTCTTTGTGCTTCCATTCCAGGTGTTGATAAAAGTTGGACGTAGTCCGATCATCTCTGATAGTCAAGCAATGCAGAACTTACATGGTGCTGTGTGCTTTTTTTTCCTCATTGTTGCTTTACAAATATATTTTGACTTAAATAGACAAATTTTATAACTTGATGATTTGGCAGACATCTTCTCCAGCTCCCAGAAAAGCACTTCTCCACTGGAGTGACAAGTGTTGCCAGATACAGTCGAGGTATTCCAGCCCAAAAATCTATTAAAAACCACCACATCACACAAAAATCTACCCAGCCAATATATTGTTACAGTATTTACTGTGTGAACATGAATGCACATCAGTACAAGCCAAGGTAATTTAACAATGTGGAAAAACGCAACAATTCAACAAAAATCTTCCCAGAGTTCCCAGCAATATCAGAATGAAAACAGCCCAATTGGCAGTAAACCGCCCAAAGTGGCAACATGAGGACGTGTGCGAGGTAAGGGGGTGGACGCTGCGTGAAAGCGTTAGCATAAACATGTATTAGCAATTATCGCTGGATTTGAATCATTACGTTTTGTATCCAATAAAAGCAAGGATGTCAACAAATAAACTGGACAATATTCTTGCAAGATGGTCATGACTGGTCTTGAAATAAAATCCCGAGTCCTCAATGTCCGAAACGGAGACAAGACTGAGACCAAATGTGGTCGAGACCGAGACTGTCAAAATGTAGTCTCGAGACCAAGACCAGTCTTGAGTACCACAACACTAGCTACACGTGCTGCAAGATAATAGCGCCGTGCTGAAATACGCTTAGGAACTTTAGTTCCGCGGCGCATAATCTGTCATTAATAAAATTTAATGAGTGAAAAAATAACTGAAACAGTATGCACGTTGACCGAACCGAACATGCTGTACAGAAACTTCGGATCAATTGCAAGGAGGGCTCAGTTCGGTTCATTTTTGATACAAAAAAAGGCCAAAATAAAGACTTACAAAATGTTTATTTTGAAAATATGCCAAGTAAACAATACGTTTGTATAAAAATAAATAAAAGCGACCCATTTGGATGATATTTTAAATAAAAGGCACTCTTTACAATAAATAAACTATATTAACAATAATAAAAATCTTAATAAATACAATAACAGTCAGAACCAGAACAATAAGCAGCAACAGAACATTTACGATCTAACTAATCAAGTTTTAAGTTTTCAACCAAAAAGACCAACTTGTCCACATTTTCTGCCAAAAGCTCAGATTTAGTTGCAGTGAATATCTCCAGTGGTGGAGAAAACCGCTCACTAACAACAGTAGCAGGAATAGAGAGATAGAGCTTTGCTAATTTTGCAGTGTGGCTGTATTTGTCCTCATCATTATTTACAATCTCTTGGACCTGCTCCCACTTGTCCCTGGAAAAGTTCAGAGTTCAGTCATCACAGACTTCTTTGGGGGAGGTGATCTCTGGTGGATTTCCCTAAGAGGAAGAAAACTCCGCTGCTATCTCTGTCCCAGACTGGAAATAAAACACAAATAGGTTTTAAAATAGAGTTAATAAGATTATAATTTTAAATAAAAAAAGTTAATTAGATAATAATAATAAAATAACAATACCTCTTCTTGAACGGTCATCATTTTTTATGACGTGGTTAAATCTCTCGTTCATCATCATCAGGACAAGACTTAAATCTGGTCCAGGGCTTGTTGACAACATCAGTTTTAGCTTTTTCATAAAGTGCTGCTAAAACTTTTTGGCTGAAGTGTTGACGTGATGGGATGTCGTAGTGGAGCTCAAGAACTTTAAAGCCGGCGCATCAACAACATAATTCAGATGTAGATCCAGAACTTTAAAAACTCTTACAGCTTGTGTTATTGCTTTGGACCGATCTAAATTACCTGATAAAGGTTTTTAAATGCTGCCATTATCGGTCTTTGCACCAACCAAGCTGCTATTCTGTAGAAGACGTTCACGTTCAGATGATGTCGTTTCAAGTGAATTAACAAGTTAGACGCGTTGCCTGCTGCAGATCTAATCTCCGTGCAACAATGTCGACACACAGCTTTGGATTTGTTCACTTGTCTTTTAACAAGAAAGCCACAATGTTCCCAAACAGGAGACCGCAACGAGATGCTAGGCTGCTAATGCTAGCGTGCTGCAAGATAATAGCACCGTGCTGAAACACGCTTAGGAACTTTAGTTCTGCGGTGCATAATCTCTCATTAATAAAATTTAATGAGTGAAAAAATAACTGAAACGGTACGCACGTGGACCAAACCGAACATGCCGTACCGAAACTGATCAATACACCCACGTGTACCTTTACACCCCTAATATATACATGCATACATACATACATAAATACATACACTGTATATCAGAAGGCCCTACAATAAAGTAAATGTGCAACAAATTTCCAATATTTATTTCTCTATTATTTTATCCTGTAGCCTACATTTGAATAAATTTTATAGGGAAGGCTCATCAGGAAGATATGAAAGATTTTACATTCAGTGAAATTCTCTCATTTTTAAGTGTAATATTTGTGCAATGTTTCCGAACTTTAAGTAATCGCCTTTAATGGTCTTGATTACAATATTGATCAAAATATTTATGGTAGTGAGTTTTCCTATAATTGAGCAGCCCTACTCACACTAGAATACATGCTGCGTGAGTGGGGGTAAGTAACATCTACCACACGCTGTAATACTCACAAATCATTTACAGCCATAAAGTTAAATATTCACAAAGGTCTTCATGAGAGCACTTTTTTGCATCATAAACATGACTGTCAACCAGACAAAAATAAACGATCAGCAGCAGTTTCACTTGCGTTACCATTAATGTTGTCGCAGTAATAGAAGTGTTCGTCATTGAGGGCCGGACAGGCTGACACCAGCTCCTGCAGGCCCAACTCAGTGATGAAGAGGCAGCCAGACAAGTTGAGATGCTCCAGGGCAGGAAGCCCTCCACGCTGAGATAAAGCTCTGAAACAAAACAGTGATATGACACTTTGTTAAAAATAATAAAACGTACAGACCACAGTCAGCACATCTAGATGAACGCTGTCCATTTAGACTTGGCAACTACAATGTAGGAGGTTCCCACATCCATCCATCCATTATCTTTTACCCGCTTCTTCCGTTTTTGGGTCACGGGGGTCGCCAGTGCCCATGTCCAGCAATCACTGTGCAAGGGGTGGGGTACACCCTGGACAAGTCTCCAGTCCATCACAGGGCCACATAGAGACAAATGAGACAAACAACCATTCACTCTCTCACTCACACCCAGAGACAATTTAGAGTTACCAATCAGCCTAACATGCATGTTTTTGGTCTGTGGGAGGAAACCGGAGTACCCGAAGAAAACCCACGCATGCACGGAGAGAACATGCAAACTCCACCCAGAAAGACCCCCAGAGCGGGGTTTAAATTAGGTTCCTACAGTCAATCCCAATTAAAAACAACTGAATTGTGCACATGGAGAAGGGGTTCTCTGCAGACCAAAAGTGGGTGTTTCTGGCGAATAGGCGTTTGTAGGGGGCAAACACTGATTGGCTAGTTGTATTTGCTGCTCTTTAGTTAAGTTACGTCAACTCTTTTTTTTTTAAACTGAAGGTTTCTAAGAACCAGCATTAAATCTACTGTCAAACACAAAAAGATTCTCTTTAGTCCTTGGGTTGTAGCTGCACCTGACACAGGTTGGCTTGAGTGTGGTCAGGGTACAATGAAATATGAAGCATATGAAGCAAAACCTGCTCCTATTTATCAAAAAGTCTGGTCTCAATTAAAGATCATGAGTCCTGTGACAAGATAATGGCCCAAATCAAACACTAAAAACAAAATTTGCTCTTTAGAAGTTCTTCTATGAGATCTGATCTATGAAAGGAGCTGAAACATTAAGTAGGGTTGACCCTTAAAATGTGAGACAGCTGAGGAAGTTAACCAGTAAACAGAAATACCTGCTCCAGTTGCAGAAATCTTACAGAAACTGACAATCACTCATCTGCAGTGACTGCAGGTTGAACAAGAAAATGAAGTTAAAGGAAACATCCTTTGTCCCAAGTCCAGTTTAAGTATCATTAATATTTTGGTTACTTTATTTTTCTTTCTTTATGAATCGATTGCAACTATTTTCACATTTTTCAACAACCAAAATGGATTTTGTTTTTTAATGTTATGGCTAGGTATAAAAAATAAATAAATAAAATTTAGCCCTCCACACTACCCAGTTATGTTGCTCTTATTTTGAAATGTAACCAGAAGTTCTGTGTTGAGAGGTGGAAAAAGAAGTTATGGAGACACCGCTAATGTCGAATCGAGACACCGCCAATGTTGAACCTGAGACACCGCTAATGTTGAACCGGTTAACACCATCGACATAATATGCCTGTGGTTAACACCATCTGCCAATAACGCCTTGTTTTTAGACATAATGTCTGTGGTTAACACAAACTGCTTTTTTTCGTTCAGCCTTTTTTTCTATTGTCCAATCAGATGTGGCTGGCCAGACATGCCCATTTTTCTATCGTCCAATCAGATGTGGCCGGCCAGACATGCCCATTTTTCTATCGTCTAATCAGATGTGACCCGCCAGACACGCCCATTTTCCTATAGCCCAATCAGATATGACCCCCCCAGATACGCCTTGTCCAATCAGATGTGGCCCCCCAGATGCGCCTTCCAAATTTGCCTGCAGCGATACCTACTTGTGCACATGTGCACATTATGTCATCTGTTTCTCACCATTGGACCTAATTCAAACTGCACATAAACAATTTAGGTTATTTTTATAACAAGCCCTGAAAAAACCTGGTTACTAAATGTTTTGAAACAGCAACAATAAAACTTATGATTCATTTTACTGTCTCAAAAGCATTTTGAAGACTGATCCTCCAAATAAAACTACAAGTTTGAGCAGGAGATCACAATTTAAGCAAAAAGTACATTTTTGTTTAATTGAAAAATATTGTATGAGGATTACCTCAAGCCTGAATCAGTGACCTGGTAACATCCAGAAAGACTGAGAAATTTTAATGATCGTTTTTCCTTTGAGCAGTCAGTCCTGTTTTCAGGCTTCAGACACTGCAGCCCCCCTAATGAGGAGCATTTAGTCCGCAGTTCTGCAGTGCCGTTTATGGTGGTGCCCAACTTGCTTTGAGGTCCAGTAAAAGTCCTGAAGGCCATGTCGCTTGAGCAGCAGGTGGAGTGACCACAAAACATTTCCCCCGACATGGGGTACTGCTGATGCAAACGGGAGGAATTTGAGCCAGTCCTGAGCCTTCTGCTCCTCCTGTAACAGCACGAGCCTCCCACAAGTTGTGTCTCTGCAAAGCTTTCAGTGAAAGACATGGAGCCACGCTGGCTCCACTCTGCAGCATCTTCAATATCAGCAAGGTCTGATGTGTCCAAAACCCAAACATGTGTTGGGATGTGGGCAGTGCCCCAACAAGTGGTCCCATGTTTAAAAATGATGGCCTGCTGTTTCCGCCCGACTGCATGCAGGCTCCTCTCATCCACGAGTGTGATGGGTACTGGGGAACTTTTAAGCAACTTAGCACGCCGCTCTGAGCATTTGTCAGAACAGGTGGAAGGCATGAGGTCACCCAGCCCGACAGACAGTTTCTTAAGGGTGTGATCATTTATTTTCTCACACCCCGACAAATCCAGGTGCTCCAGAGTGTGACAAGCTCCAAGATACGACCAGCTGGAAAAGAATGAACAGAGGATCAAAGTCATGATTGTAAATGTGCATATAAAATATAAATATAAAATATATATATAATATAAAATATTATAAAATATACATGACTGGGAATCCAGCTGTGCTGCTGCAACACCATGAAATCCAAAATGTGTTCTTTAGCAGAACAATAATGTTACCTGTCAAATGCAGAGTCTGTAACTGCGGTTTGAGTCAGGTCCAAATGAGTAATATTGTGACAGAGGTTGAGTATTTGACGAACCTGGATAAAAATTTAAAGTTAAACCAAATTTAAGTTTAGTTATGACTATGACTGATAAAAGGTTTTGCACAGCCTACCATTTTACTTGAGACTGTAGAACTGTATGCAAGAACGATGGACTTTACAGATGAACCCACAGCTGGAAGAAGGTTCTGGATAATCCCATTTAAGAGCCTCTTCTCTCTCTGAGCAGTGCTAATTGCTAGCGAGCCTTCAGTATGACCCAAAACATCTGACAACACAATGAAGAATGAGACAACTAAATATTTATGTTGACTCAATAGAAACAAATAGGAGTGTAACGGAACACGTGGGTGTACCGAACCGTTCCGGTACGGCATGTTCGGTTCAGTCCACGTGCGTACTATTTCGGTTATTTTTACACTTATTTACACTCATTAAATTTTATTAACGAGAGATTATGCGCCGCAGAACTAAAGTTCCTAAGTGTGTTTCAGCACGGCGCTATTATCTCGCAGCACGCATAGCATTAGCAGCCTAGCATCTCGTTGCGGTCTCCTGTTTGGGAACATTATGGCTTTCTTGTTAAAAGACAAGTGAACAAATCCAAAGCTGTGTGTCAATGTCATTTCACGGAGATTGGATCTGCAGCAGGCAACACATCTAACTTGTTAACGCGCTTGAAAGACATCATCCGAACGTGACCATCTCTTCTACAAGCAAGAAAAGCAGCTTGTTGCAAAGACTGATAATGTTCGTTACGTACTGTAACCCCAGATTCTGTGAGTATAGGCGCAACTCTTTAAGGCGATCGCTAGTGGGTTTATCCCTTCACGCACAGCGCTGCACTGAAAATTTTAGTCCACGCCCACCTACTGTGTGGGCCTCACCCCCGTCCGTATAAATGACGGTGAGACCGAGTAATCGGCTCCCAAATAGCTTTTTAATTCAGCCATTTAGGAACCAGTGAGGCCCAGAGCTTAAAGGGCTGTGCCTATACTCATCGAATCTGGGGTTACCGTACGTAACCAACGTTCTATTTCATATAGGCTTCGCCCTTTAAGGCTATCGCTAGTGGGATAAAGGCAAAGCAGGATGTAGTCTATGCCTCACTGGGTCCACTCAGACAACATGAAGCACCTGCTTGTACAAAAAAACATTTAATCACGCAGCATTCTGTGTGCATAATTACGCGCTGCGTAATTGCATGCTCCATGCGCAGGAGCGCATCGGAGAAAAGATCTCTGGTGAGGAAAAAGGCTGAGATAGCAGACCTGCTGCTGTGAATAGGAACAACGAAGGATAAGAAGTGTAACAGTGCAACGATGAACAGAGCAGACCAACAGCTCCTCAGGATGAACCGATTAATAATCAAATAGCAGTCATGAACTTGTGACTGATAATATCTCACACTGCGACTGCATGCAGGCGTGAGCTCAAAAGTGAAGCTCCATGAAACAAATAATAATCATTCTGTCAGAACCCTGAGAACAGAATGGGTCATTGAGAAAGTAGAAACCTCACGTAGATAAAAACAAATAATTGAACATGGCGATGACCAGGCAGCCACCATTAAAATATCCTCCACCGTCATCCCTCCATGCAGAGCCATGGAGGATGAAAACCTTCTGGTGGAATGTGCTCTAAGATTCTCTGGAGGGTCCAGCCCAGATGAACTGTAAGCTTCAGAAATAGCCTCACACAACCAGTGTGAGAGACACTGGGTGCATAGAGGGTGTCCTTAAGAGCTGTCCCTGTAATGCACAAACAGACGCTGAGAATGGCGCAGTGCGGCCATGTGCGCCACGTAACACTAAAATGTGTGCACGGGACAGAGGAGGTGAGATGTCGTTTCCTCTTCAGAATTATGAGGAGGAGGGTAAAACCCATCCAAGGTTATCACTCTCGATCTGAATGAGCTTGTGATGCTTTTCTGAGCAGGGTTAAAACGCAGTATAGCTGAACTGCCGTCAGTTTGAATTCTGAAACATGACGGAGCAACAGAGAGAACAGATAATCACTCACTCTCTTTGCCGACGTCAGAGCTAACAGCAAGGCTGTTTTAAATGACAGAAATTTAAGTGAAACCTGATCTAAAGGCTCAAAAGGAGCTTTGATCAGAGCGTGCAAGACCGTCATTAGGTCTCACCATGGAGCTAGTGGACGTGAGAAAGGTCTGTGTCTCTGTACACCTTTCAGAAAACGCTTCATCAGCGGGTGGTTAAGAACTGTTCTGTCACTGAAAAACCTCATGACAGGAAGAACTAGCTGCAGCATAATTTTAAACGGTGCTGAACGCTAAATTTCTTTCCATCAGTTGCTATAGAAATGACAGCACGCCACCTAGTGGACATGAGATGGCCTCCACGCCTTTCTCTGCGCACCAGCGCTGAAAAAACTGTCCACTTCATGTGTACAGCGTTGTAATGGAAACAGCTCGTGTGCCCTGAAACGTACGCACCACATCCTGTGGGAAGCCCATCTTTTTCTAAACGAATCCATTCAGCGGCCAGACCAAAAGGTGCTGACCTATTTCTGGGTAACTCCTGATCACTCTTCCTGCCTGGAGGAGAGCGCCCCCCCACGGCAGTTTCCACGGCCAACCCGATATAAGTCGCTGAAGATTCGAGAACCACGGAGCACTTATGCGCTCGGGAGCTACGAGAATGACTGACTTCTTCCTCCCGGACCCGGTCCAGGGTCCGTGATATCAGCAGGACTGGAGGGAACGCATAAAGGAGCATTTTTGGCCACGGGCTGTGAGCGAAGGCGTCCACTCCTAACGGTGAATCGTCTCGTGAGCTCAGTGAGAACCATAATTGACACTGGGAGTTCTCCCATGTGGCAAACAGATCCACTGCTGCTCCAAAAACCGAGAGATCAGCTCAGGATGGAGGCTCTAGTCTCTATGGTGGGTACTGCCCCTCGACATGATATCCGCTCGCCTGTTCAGGACACTGGGAATGTACACTGCACTGATGGGGAGCAGGTTTTTGTGTGCACAACACAACAGCTGTTTCACGATGCATAACAGTTTGGCTGAGCGTACACCTCCCTGACGGTTTATGTAAACTGTTGTCACTTTGTTGTCTGTGTGGATCAGAAAATGCTGATCCCGCAGCAGGGAGCAAAATGCTGAGTCACGTTTCAGACCGTGAAAAACATTCTAGCACATTATGTAAAGCGACATGTGGTCCAGCCACTGTGCTCCAACTGCTTGGGATAGACATATTCCTCCCAGCTTGACAGAAACACATCTGTGAAAAACTGAGACATGTGACGTAGGCCTGCTGATGGGAACTCCCTCTGACAGAACGAGGGGGTTTCCCCAGTGATTCAGATCGGTTCTCACAGAGGGGGGCACAAAGATAATCCGCCTCTGCTGGCGCACAGGATCTATGCGCAGTTGGGCGAACCATCTCTGAAGGCGTCTCATGTGAAGTAGGCCCAGCGGAACCACAATGTGGGCTGCTGACATCGTCCCAGGAGTTGCATGACAGGCAGAGCTGTCACTTTGCTGCCGGGTTCGACACAGCGGAACTGAACTTACAGAGCTTCTGCTCTCGGCTGTGATAAACGGGCTCTCATTGTGGTTGAGTTTAGCTCCACTCCCAAATAAATAATCATCTGGGACGGGCGAACGGAACTTTTCCCAGTTTACAGAAAACCCAGGTTTAGCAGGTGTAACGCTAGCGTTTGGTCTGCACAGCTGCTTCCTGCCTGGACTGATCTAATAAGAGCAGATCATCCAGATAAAAAGGAATTCTCATTCCTGCCATGTGTTATGGCTACAGAGCTATCTCCACGCATTTTGAGAGCGTGCGTGGGGTGAGGGAATAACCGAACAGTAGCCTGTTGTACCGATACGGAATCCCCTGGAGGAGAAAAACACAGGATTTTCCTGTGTTTCAGAATGATGGAAATGTGAAATTATGCGCCCTTCTATGGAGGTGAACCAGTCGTTCTGGTGAAGTTCTCCAGCAGCTCTTTGTCAGCATGTGGAATTGTCTCTCCATGATCGAATTGTTGAACATGGACAGGTCGAGAATGGGTCTCATCCCTCCGTTTTTTTTCAGAGCCAGGAAGTAGTGGGAGGAGGAAAAAAAAAAAAAAAAAGAAACTTATTTTCCTCTCCGTTGGAAACTTTGGAAATCATGTTTTTCATCAGGAATTCCTGAACTTCTGACTGGAGAGACGAGCTCTGTTCTGGAGAAGACAGGACCGTCTCTATAATCCCTCTGAATTGTAGGGGTTGAGCTGCAAACTGCAGCATGTAACCCCTGCTGATCAGACGGACCGTCCCATCTGTCCAAGGAACACACTTGCTGCCACTCTGAGTAACGCTCGGAGAGCAGGCATGCATTTTGTGTGTCATGTTTCTCATGGACATCAACCAGGCTAAAAACCCTTACTGCCATCACCCACTCCGGAGGTTCTCTGGGGGGAACCCAAGGTGGGGGCTCTGACAGAAAAATGCTTTGTGTGTGCCTCTGTACTGAACCTAGGCTGCGGTCTCACGTTAGAGCTGAGGTGGGCTGGCGCGCACTGAGAGGAGGCGTGAGCACTTTCTGAGTGAAAACATCGTTTCGGTGGAGGCTGCAGCTGTCGTGGAGAAAAAACATTTACTCCCGCTGCGCGGTGAGATGACAGAAAATGGCAGAAGATAAAAACGGGCACTGGCTAAGAGCAAGGGATTTTACCAGTCTTGGTCTGCTGAAAAAATATTTTTAGCTAACGTGGCAGACGAGTGTTTTGTGATATTTATAGAACCGTGGTGCCATTTAAAATGCTGTTTAAAAGTTAATGGCTCATTCTGTATGGGGAAAGTGTGAAAAGAGGTAGCTGTGAGCTCAGTTGATCTGACAGTCAAGCTGGAATCAGATGAAACTTTACTTTGAGATGTTTGTTATATTTCGAAACATACCTCATCAAAAAACACACATTCCCCTCAAGGAGGTGTTCCCTAGTGGAGGGGGCCGGCAGAGGAGCAGAGTGTGAAGTCACAGCCGCAGCTGTGCAGCGCCTCTGCTGCTGTTGCCGTCCAAGGCGGTCCCTCCAGCGGGAGGAGGACTGTGATGTCACCAGATGGTGTACAGTCTCTGAGACCTCCTCGGACCTCTGCGATTTCTCAAGGATGGTCCTGAAGTTGGCCCCGAACAGCACCTCTGGGGTGATAGGGCCCTCCAGCAGGTCTTTCTGCAACCTCTCGGACAAGGATGGTGAGAGGCGGAGCCAAGTGGTCCTCTGGATAGTGGTCATCCAGGCGGCGATGAGGGACAGGCAGACCGCAGAGGTGGCACATGTTTAAGATGACATCAGCAGCTTTACGGAGAGAGATCTTTGTCTCCTCCAGCAGGTCTGCTTCCTCCAGCCTCTTACAGATGCTGTAGGCCAGCAGGGCGATGTTTTTGTTCACTGCAGCCGTCTGGAATGAGCACTGGTGAGCTCGGTTAGAGACCTTTGTCACCATCTGGTCATGCTTCCCTGGAGGGACAAGTTGCTGGACCAGCCTGGAAGCTTTTGCCCCAAGTGCCACCACCATGCTTGGCTCCGGGGGGGACAGAGGGAAAAACACAGATCTGTAAAACCCTCCACTTTGGAGATGGAGGCGAAGGTGGAGACGGATGTCTTCAGCTTGCTGGGCCCAGCTGCAGCCTCGTTCCAGTGTGACATCACAGTTGGACAGCGAGGCCAGATGGGGTCAGGGCGACGAGCCGGAGCAGAGCCAACCTTGCCGCCAGATCATCCGATCAGGGCAGAAGGAGGCGAGGGACGAAAAGTCCCTTGTGTTAACATTCTCCTGGATTATGCCGGACAGCTCCGAGAGGAGGGCGCCGACGGCTGGGAGCGGTGTGGTCGCCGACATGGGAAGATCCGAGGTGGCTGAGCATCCGCTCGTCTTCCGTCACTATTCTCCAGGAGGGAGGGGGCAGCTTCACATCGCCTTTCTCGGAGGAATCATTCGATTCACTGCGTGACTTTGCATCAAAGAAGGCGGTGGCGTCGTCCCGCGCATAGCGTCCTGCCACAGGAAAAAACACTCAGCGGAGCTGCTGCCAACAACGCCTTTTATGAGGGAATCATCCGATTCACCGCGAGAAAAAAAAACACGTTAGAAAAAGCGGTGGCGTCGTCCAGCGAGTAGCGGCCCTCCACAGAAAAGCATTCAGCGGGGCTGCTGCTAACATCACCTTTTTTGAGGAAATCATTTGATTACCATGAGGAAAAACCGTTAGAAAAGGCGATGGCGTCATCCAGCAGGTAGCGGCCCGCCACGGAAAAGCACTCCTCGGCGCTTACATAGAACAAGGCTGCTCGTCTCTGCTTCTCCTCAGGGAGGAAGAGCTCACCAGGACGGCAGGAGGTTGGCGTGGCGGAGACCCAGGCATCCTTAGCAAAGGTTGTGCCGGTCAAAGCTGGACAACTTTTCCTTCTTTGGTCTTCTGACAGTGCTAGCTAGCTGGCTGAAGAAAAAAATGGGAGCCGATTACCCAGTCTCACCGTAATTTATACGGACCGGGGGTGAGGCCCACACAGTAGGTGGGCGTGGACTAAAGTTTTCAGCACTGCGCGCAAAGGGATAAACCCACTGGCGACAGCCTTAAAGGGCGAAGCCTATACAAAATAGAACAGCAGCATTTAAACAACCTTTATCAGGTAATTCAGATCGGTCCAGAGCAATAACACAAGCTGTAGGAGTTTTTAAAGCTCTGAATCTACGACCTTATTCTGTTGTTGATGCACTGGCTTTAAAGTTATTGAGCCCCGCTACGACATCCCATCACATCAACACTTCAGCCAAAAAGTTGTAGCAGCACTTTATGAAAAAGCTAAAACTGATGTTGTCAACAAGCCCTGAACCAGATTAAAGTCTTGTCCTGATGATGACGAACGAGAGATTCAACCACCTCATAACAGAAATTATGGCCGTTCAAGAAGAGGTATTGTTATTTTATTATTATTATTATCTAATTAACTTTTTTTTATTTAAAATTATAATCTTATTAACTCTTTTTTTAAAACCTATTTGTGTTTTATTTCCAGTCTGGGACAGAGATAGCAGCTGAGTTTTCTTCCTCTTCAGGGAAATCCAGCAGAGATCACCCCCCCCAAAGAAGTCTGTGATGACTGAACTCTGAACTTTTCCAGGGACAAGTGGGAGCAGGTCCAAGAGATTGTAAATAATGATGAGGACAAATACAGCCACAGTGCAAAATTAGCAAAGCTCTATCTCTCTATTCTTGCTACTGTTGTTAGTGAGCGGTTTTCTCCACCACTGGAGATATTCACTGCAACTAAATCTGAGCTTTTGGCAGAAAATGTGGATTAGTTTGTCTTTTTGGTTGAAAACTTGATTAGTTAGACTGTAAATAGTCTGTTGCTGCTTATTGTTCTGGTTCTGACCGTTATTGTATTTATTAAGATTTTCATTATTGTTAGTATAGTTTATTTATTGTAAAGAGTGCCTTTTATTTAAAATATCATCCAAATGGGTCGCTTTTATTTATTTTTATACAAACGTATTGTTCACTTGGCATATATTCAAAATAAACATTTTGTAAGTCTTCATTTTGGCCTTTTTTTGTACCAAAAATGAACCGAAGCAAAATGTGATTTTAGCGTACCGTTACACCCCTAGAAACAAACCATAAGAAAAATATCTGCAACACTGCAGCTTTGCTCACTTCCTTTATCTCACTGCAGAACCTAAAAACTAGAGCCGGCATCTATTTAAGCTTTTAAAAGGTAAGAATGTTAAATAAAAAATTATACCAACATTTAAATGACACATTTTAAACAGCTTTCAACATGAAAACTTTATGTTGTGTTACGTTAATACAAGCTAGAATTGATACAATCTTACTTTGATCAATGAAGAGAACTTTTATATTTATTTTTATAACAAACTTCACCTGACTCGTCAACGTCAGCATCCTCATCCCACTCCTGAAAGGCACGACCTTCATTCACCCGACTCTTCACCCACTCCTCATCTGGCTCTTGGTCAAGATCCCCAGGGGGACCTCTACAATAATCACCTAAGGCACGTGCACACGCACACACAGACACACACACATCCTTCGTAAAATGAGACACTAAAAATTAAGTATGAATACATTAAGATAAATCAATTGAATGTGCTTTTTGGAGCTTGATAATAGCATATGTTCTGGAATTTGAAAGCATTTACTTTGATATTAAATGACAAAATTAACAGGTTATACATTTTACTTCATAAATAAATGAGCTAATAATGCCACAGCAGAAGTTTTAGTGTTTATACAGTATATATGTAGGTCCTATCAGGCCTTTTTGGCCTATGGGACTCCAGAAGCAGCTGATGGGTACCAGCAGTCCAAGCGACATGCGGCTCGGGTGGTTGCTGAGGCAAAAACTCGGGCGTGGGAGGAGTTGGGAGAAGCCATGGAGAATGACTTCCGTACAGCTTCGAGGCGATTCTGGTCCACCATCCAGTGTCTCAGTGGGGGAAGCGGTATGCCACCAACACTATAGTGGAAGTGGTGTGCTGCTGACCTCAACTCGGGATGTTGTGGGTCGGTGGGCAGAGTATGGGAAGATGAGCAGAGATATATAGAGATATATATATATACCTATATAGATATAGATATATATCTATATATTGTTCCTAGAACAACTGGCCGAGGTGGAGGAGTAGCTTCTATTTTTCAGTCAGGATTATTGATTAATGCCAAACCAGTTATTAGTTATGATGCTTTTGAATCGCTGTCCCTCAGTCTTTCTCATCCAAAATGGAAATCAGAAAAGCCACTTTTACTAGTTGTTATACATAGTCCACCAGGCGCTTAATCTCGGTTTTTGTCTGAATTCTCAGAATTCTTAACTGACTTACTATTAAATACTGATAAAATCATCATAATGGGTGATTTCAATATTCATGTGGATGTTGAGAGTGATAGCTTAAGCATAGCCTTTAGTAATTTATTAGACTCATTTGGTTTTACCCAAAACGTCCACCCATCTACTCATTCTTATCATCACACTCTTGATTTAGTTCTGACCTATGGTATAGAGATTAAGGACTTGGTAATAGTTCCTCAAAATCCTATTCTGTCCGACCATTTTTTAATAACCTTTGAGTTTACATTAAATGACTACACAGTCACCGAGAGTAAATTTCATCTCAGCAAGTGCTTACCAGAAAATGCTGTAACCAAAATTAAACAATCTCTTCAATCAATGTTTAACTCTGTCTTGCAGAGTAATCTACTTAACTTGTCTTTAATGGATGGTTACGTACCACAGCGCTTTAAGGTTGCTGTAATTAAACCTTTACTTAAGAATTCTGTCCTTGATTCAGAAATTCCGGCCAACTATAGACCTATATCTAATCTAACTTTCCTCTCAAAAATTCTAGAGAAAATACTTGCAGGTCAGTTGCGTGAACTTCTACAAAGAAATAATCTGTTTGAAGTGTTTCAGTCAGGGTGTAGAGCTCATCATTGCACAGAAACAGCACTAGTAAAAGTAACTAATGATATTCTCATGGCCTCAGACAATGGACTTGTGTCTATACTAGTCCTGTTAGACCTCAGTGCTGCATTTGATACAGTTTATCACAATATTTTACTACAGAGGCTTGAATATGATATTGGGATTACAGAAACAGCTATAAAATGATTTAAATCATACCTATCTGATAGATTCCAGTTTGTAAATGTAAATAATAAATCTTCTTCATACACCAAAGTTAGTCATGGAGTTCCTCAGGGCTCAGCGCATGGGCCAATACTCTTTATTTTATATACGCTTCCATTAGGTGAAGTTATTAAACAGCATGGGATACATTTTCATTGTTATGCTGATGACAATTATATTTGTCCATTAAACCCAATGAATCCAATCAGTTACTTGGACTATAAGCATGTTTTAACAACATAAAAACCTGGATGACCCTTAATTTTCTCCTTTTGAACACAGACAAGACTGAGGTTTTGGTTTTTGGACCTGAGCACCTTAGGAATGAATTTTTCAGTATTTCGCCCTCCTTAGATGGCCTCTAGTTCTAATGTTAAAAATCTTTATGCTATTTTTGATCAGTACATGTCTTTTATCCTACACATATGGGCGGCTGTGGCTGAGTGGTTAGAGCAGTTGTCCTCCAATGAGAGTTGGGGGTTCGAATTCACCAGCATTCACATGCTGAAGTGTCCCTGGGCAAGACACTGAACCCCTCATTGCCTCTGATGTGTGCCCCATCAGTGTATGAATGTGATCTAAAGCACTGATTAGTCTCATTAGAAGGATTTGTTCAATTAGTCTTTGTAGAGATCTAGTAGAGTGCTGTATGAATGGGTAAATGAGGACACAGATAGTAGCTTAAAGCACTTTGAGTATCTTGAAATAAGATAGAAAGGTGCTATATAAGTACAGTCCATTTACCATTTCTCATTTACATTAAAAACGTTACTAGAACCGCCTTCTTCCACCTGTGTAATTTCGCTAAAATTAGAAACATCTTATCTAAAAATGATGCAGAAAAACTGATCCATGCATTTATCACATGTAGACTGGACTTTTGCAATGATTTATTATCTGGGTGTCCAAATATTTCTTTAAAACGTCTTCAGTTAATCCAAAATGCTGCTGCCAGAGTCTTAACTGGAGTTAGTAGGAGAGATCGTATCTCTCCAGTTTTAGTTTCTCTCCATTGGCTCCCTGTCAAATCCAGAATAGAATTCAAAATCCTACTTCTAACCTACAAAGCTCTCAACAACCTAGATCCATCTTATATTACAGATCTTATTGTTCCATATTTTCTTAACAGCGTACTTCACTATCAGGCTGCAGGTTTACTTGTGGTTCCTAGAATTTACAAAAACAGAATGGGAGGCAGAGCTTTCAGTTATCAGGCTCCTCTCTTGTGGAACCAACTTCCAATCTCTGTCCGTGAGGCTGACAATTTATCCAGTTTTAAAACTAGACTTAAGACTTTTCTTTTTGCTAAATCCTATAGTTAGGGTCGGCTTGGGTTTCCTGAGCTGGCCCTTAGTTATGCTGCTATGGGCTTAGACTGCTGGAGGACAAACTGACCACACTTCACTCTGCTACTGTCTTTATTTACTCTGCTCAACCTGTTTTGTATTTGTAATTATTTTTTTCTATCCTTAACATTTTTTTAATTTTTGTCTTTCAAGTACAAACCGGATTCCAAAAAAGGTGGGACACTAAACAAATTGTGAATAAAAATATATATATATACGTGTGTATATATACACACACATATATATATATACACACACATATATATATATATACACACACATATATATATATATACACACA